TACATCAGATTAATGTAATTTCCTGATTCATTCATTTTAGGCTGCAATATCTTTTTTTTTTTTTTTCCATTTTAGTGTATTTTTCCCCATTTACTGAGATCTCTATTTTATTACATGAAAAATGATCCTCCAACACCACCAAGTACCACTGTAGTATAAAATATCAAAGAAAACTCTGTGCGGTATTACTCACCTGTGCCCCTGAAGAGCTAAATTATGGTTCCAACTTGTCTCCTCTGGGCGTAGGAGACTGAAAAAAAATTATATGAAGAATGTTTATGAAAATACAGAATCACAGGAAAACTCTTTCTGTGTATAAACAAAGATTAAACACCATAAAAAATACACAAAACCATAAGCCCCCCAAAAAAACATTACAAACACATTATTACTCTATAAATAAGTTTCGGCTGATTTATCAACTCTTGTATTTCTAAAGGGAAACCAGTCAATGCAGACGACAGCCTCCATCTGAATATACAACAAAAGTGGTTCAGACTGCTTGTACAAGCTGAAGACCCCGCCTCTCTGGGCATAGAGACACACAAACACACACACACACACACACACACACACACACACACACACACACACACACACACACACACCAGAAGTCATTGATTAGTCTAAGCCAGGGCTAATAGTCAGCCCTTACTTTTAGCTCCATCAGCTAAACCAATGGCCTGGAACCTCCTAGTCTCAGAGGAAAGAATATGTGTGTGTGTGTGTGTGTGTGTGTGTGTGTGTGTGTGTGTGTGTGTGATTCCTGACAAAACAAGAAGATCTGAACGTCCTAAAAATATTAGAAAACGCGCAGTTGATACAGTATATTTTTCAGCTTTTTTTGTATATATGAATTGAAGCTGATTGTGGTTTTGAGGATAAAGCATCAGCTACTGTAAATGCGGATGTTAATTACCATGTATGACACCACAGTGCTGGCTGGGGGGAGGAAGAAGGAAGGAAGGAAGAGGGAGAGGTAGCCAAATACTCACAAAGCAACAAAAAAAGTGGGCAGGACACTGATTGGACTCTCATCGCTTTACGCTGCGTTTCCTACCGGTGTTTGGGTTCCGAGCTGTTACTAGGGAGCCATTAACAGCCCTGATAACAGCAACACTAATTAGTACTAATGGACTTGTCACACACACACATACACACAAAGATATCATAAATTCCTTAGAGTACCAATAATATTATGAACTTGTGAAGTTTTCTTATAGATTTTTGGATTTACGTATTACATACATACATGTAGGCACGTATTCCTTCTGCCATAAGCAGTCTGTTTATTTTAAGACACATACTGTATGTAAGCATGGGGGAACAGTGAGTGACAGGTCATTATCACCATCGTCCAGAGAGTCTATCGTCGCCACGGGAGACCAGCTGATGACTTCACCTGAGGGGCCGTTTTCTTTGAATCAGTCAATAAGTCCGTCAATGAATCAGTCAGTTAGTGTGTGTGATTTGTTGTTAACTTAATTCACTCAGAACCAGCAAATGCAATTGTTGCACTGGTAGTCTGAAAATAATTTGAGTAACCTGAAAACCATGAGAATCAGCAAGAAAATGTTTTAGATTACCTTGCATGGTGAGTTTTGTTTTATGTATTTTTTATTGTAAATTAATATTATGAATTTTATTTAGTTTTATATATCTTATGTATATTGTTATCTTAAATCTGTGTGTTAAAGTTGAATAGGCTTTATATTTATTTTACAGTTTGTTGAATGTTCAGAATGACATTGGAAAGCAAGTGAACAATAAAGAGGATATACAACTTATTCTTTCAACTGACTTTCTCCACAACTAGAGTCATTTTTGTAATGATTTAAGATTGTAAGTAACTAGATGATTTGTATGGATCTGTTCAGTAAGGAAGATTTGATGTTGCTCTCAGAGATTAAATATGATTGACTGACTCATAACCCTCACTTATACCCAGATCTTATCTTCTTCAAACATTTTGTCCTCCACTTCATTTAATTTCTGCTTGCTATTTTTTCCATTCGCATTTATAGCTGACACTCACTGACACATATTGGGAGTTTCACCTGAACTTGAATAAAAGAAAAAATGTGTTACGTAAGTCCATTCTTTACCTTGGAAACATCCAGCCATTCTCTATAACCACTCTTTTGGAAGGTCAGGGGCTGGAGCCAATCCCAGAGGTGGGGTACACACTGGACAGGTCCCCAGTCCATCACAGGGCTGTCACATAGAGACAACAAACATTCACACCTACAGGCAATTTATAGATGTTAATTAACCTAACCTGCATGCTTTTGAACAGTGGGGAGGAAGCCGGAGCACCAGGGGAAGACCCACGCAGACATGGGGAGAACCTGCATACGGCACACAGAAAGGCTCTAGCCGGCTGGCGGGTTCAAACCCACAACCTTCCTACTGTGAGGCAACAGTGCTTACCACCCCACCACCGTGCCGCAGCTTCAGAAACAGCAGCTGATAAAACAATCTCAACACAAGGTCCATTTCATTTCAATCATTTAGTCATACGATGGCAGGTGGAGTTCGATTATTTGTCACTGAAACTGCTCAGTTTTCCATTTTACTTTCAGCATTTTTCCTCATCAAGCCTAAAAGGTGAGGTTCAAAGGAAATAACAGTTCTCACCACAAGGTCCAGTTAGTATAGCTGCTTCAAATGCTGATGGATCTTAACTGGGTTTTCGAAGTGTAAAGTCTACTGGGTCACCTGCCCTCTTCTCTTTTGTCCATTTACAAATGAGAACTCCCCTGTTGAGTCAAATTACCACCATTGTGTCAGCAACTCTGCTATATTGGCTCGTACTGTGTGCTCATTTAGGCGCGACAAACACAGGGAACGATGTAATATTGGAAAAAACTAATGTTGTATAAAGTCTGAGTTAATTGGGCAATGTCTCTCAATACTGCTGGGTGTGTAAAAATCAGTTGATTAATCACTGTGGACATTATGTTACGCTATTGATTGTGGCAATGATGTGACATTAAAGCAATAAAGAGTGTACCTTCACTGTGATTAGTGCAACATGAGGCTGGATCAATCTTGAATAATAATAACAATCATCATAATAATAGTCAGCCATGCAGATCCATAGAGACAACAAAAAAAAAGACCGCAAACAACAACAGAGGCAGTTTGAGAACATTTAATATCCACGTAAAATATATATTCCAGTTTATGTAAGAGCAAAACATTCCTGACAAAAAGAAATAAAACGTGTAAAATGTTTCCATTAACATTCCAATGTCTCATATTATTTTAAATGACAATGTTTTAAAAAAGATTACGGATAACATCTCTTGAATTAGACAAATAACTCTAGAAATGTTCAATGTTGAAAGAATGTTTTTTTTTTTATTTATACTCTGTAATGTAACATGCTGGTTATTTGTACTATGAGAACAATACATTTTGCTTCTTGAGTACAAAAATAGGATAAAAATATTCTATGCATTCTCTTTTTTTTGTGGCTGCTGTTTGTGTGTACTCTCTGGTAGCTACTGTATAGTCTGGCTAGTTTAGCAAAGGAACGAAACACAAACTGCAAACCCTGGCCCCGAAAAAATTTAACATTTTATTGACTGCGACTTCTCTGCTGTACTGAATGAGGAAACTTAGTTTGGTTGGTTGACATTTTATACAATATATATATAGCATAACAGTATCTTTGAAATGCATTTTCTTTAATATATTCGGCTGTGAAGTCCAAACAATTACCAGATATATTTAAGAACGCCTTCCTTTGCTGCTTTTTATTGCCTAAATTCTCCCTTTAACTAAACAATTATCTATTTAACCGGATTTACTATCAATAACAAAGTGTTTAAACAATAAATTGTTTTATTATTTTATTATATTATAAGTTGTGTTGTTTGACAGAGGTAATGTTCAAGAACCGTGGCATGAATGCTAAAAAAAAAAGTAATGGCTCTGAGTGCTAAAAGGTTGTCAATGCTTTTTGATGCAATGATGAAAACCCTTTAGTTAAACTGAAACAAGAATCCTGACTGGCATATATGATATCTAAAACTGTCCAATCACATGACTGACAATCTGCCACAAGTAATAAACACAGAAAACACCTCTAAACTAGCTGTCTGTGAGGTAGTGCAGGTAAACAATCTCCTGTACTTTCCTTATTACTTCAAGTCAGGTGGATACCATGTCATTTTGAATTCTTCATCATGATAATAATATTCAGTGACAACATTTAGTGACTGTAACTAAAATACCAATACAGATATTTATCACAGCTAGGGTCTGCTAAAACAAGACAAAAAATCTAAATACCAAGGTATTGTTTTAATAATAAATTTAAAGGAATCTGGATAGTAAAATATACTTAAAATTACTTTAGAAAGTAAACCAACAAGAATTTAATTTAAAATAATTGTAAATTCAAATCCAACAAATTCTGATAACATTTAAACATACTTTACCAAATGTACATAAAACACAACAGGTTTAACATGTTTTATACTTCAGTGAAGTCATTTTCAAGTCAGTTTGAGAATATCCTTCAGCTCTAGTTCTTAGACTAGGAAGACTTGTTTGTTAAAGCCCAGAAGGCTGGCTGGTGTTAGACGACTGAGTCGGAGTAAAGACTGCAGATTATAACAAAACTAAACGAAATTGCTACACTTGGTGAAAAGGAAATAGTGCAGGTTACAACTAAATTCAAACACCTGTGAGATTGCAGCATATTGTCTCCACTGAGTGAACTGGAATATAGGCAACATTGTCCCTTAAATACAGGTAAGGTCAAGACTACATGTTTATGCCACATTTGTGCCAAAAATAGCGGTCCTCAGTCTGAAGAAGTTATTTTTCAGACGAGTCATTGGGAGGAGGGGGGGTTGTGCATTTCTGATACGGAAACAAACATTTATAATTTTTGATAACTGCTTTTTTTGTTTCAACCAGAGAAACTTGGTTTGGATTGAATTGAGCTGGGCTGACTTGCTGTACAGTGCATAGTGAGAGTGATTGCTGTGGGGATTTCGGAGGAGGAAGTGGTACATCCATATTAAGTGTAAGAATGGTCTGGACAAGATGTATGTATAGACAGAGGGTGTGAGGAGTCATCAGTACTTGCTGCTGGAGTCGTTAGCAACGCGGCTGACGTAGGCTTCATAGATGTTGTCCAGGAATGAGCTGTCAGTCTGAAATACACAAGCAACGATGACCATACTATATATATGTATGTGTGTGTGCATGAAGTACACAGCTTAGAATAAAACATAAACACAAGAAATTAACAATGTAATATGATGTGAGGCCCTGGGCATGTAATGTGTCAGTCAGATACTTACCTGGATCAGATGCAGCAGTGTGGCTTGTAACTGGCTTCTGGACAGGATTCTGATCTCCTCCTGCAGCAGGGGTCTGGACAGGGTTGAGGGGGCAGCGCCACTCCCCTGGGCAACTGACAGCCCGCCACTAACCTTTGCTTGAGTGAACACACTGGGAGAGAGGAGCAGGTTGGGGGCCACAGTGGCTGGTATTCGCTGGGGGGAGATGACCTGGACAGACAGGGACAGTTATTAGTACTCCTTATTAGCTGTTTCCAGTCAGTAGAAACAAAGTTCACAATGCTTACCTGAAACTGCAGTGCAGCCTTTTGTCCTGCAGTGGCTGTGGTTTGGTTTGGGACTAAGCCTGCACCTTGACCATGAGTGGGCCCCAGAAATCGAGGAGCCAGTCCTGGACAGAGTCGAGGTGAATCATGGGAAGCCAGGTTTTGCTCTTGCTGGACCAGTTGGAGCTTTTGCAGGAGCTCATGAGGCGACACCACACCAGGCATCTGGGAAGACAGACCTGACAAGAGAGCGTAAGAGCCCCACTGATGAGAATTATTTCTATAATATCTTACACAGATAATACAGGCATCTTGGCAGAGACATTTCAGAATTTAAATAGAGAAATGGATATAGATAGATGCATACATAGTAAAATACCTGTGAGAATATTAAATTAATAGTTAACTGACACAGTTTTGTCAGATTAGAGATATTCAATCAGGCATGTTTTACAGAAATAGTCAATACATTCAATTAGATAATAGATCATTATGGAACGGATTCCAAGACCCGGCAGACACAGACACACAGTATAGTCTGTTCAGCCAAGTTCAGAACAAAGATTTGCAACTATATGAGCTAAAACTTGCAACTACTACAATGCGGCGGTCTGCAAAGTTCTGAAAACCTGCCAGTTTACATCAATGTGAGTGCGTACTGTGGTTAAAATTTAAAAATTCTGTACACAACGGCACAGATTTATGGGCACTTTGACAGAAAATGCTTTTAAAAAGTAGGTTGGAATCTGTGTAATGGTTGACTTAAGTTTGTGTGACACAAAAACTGCAAAGTGACTAAGTTATTTTAAGAAAAGTGATGTCATACCTTGTGGAAGTTGAAAGACTTGGTCATTGGCCACCTGAGATGGCATCAAACCTGTTAAAGCAGCAAAAACATGACTGAAAATGATATGAGGAAGTTTTTTGTACCCTTTATCTATTTATTAGCGATTAATTATTATTCAATACATTCTACTATCAACATCCTCGCTTACTTTTGCCAGAGAAGTGTATATAGTATAACTTATTCACTTGTAACTGCACAGGGTCATACTGCTGGCACATTGATAGCATAAGAGATGTCTCACCTGTTCCCTGTATACCTGAAGCTGACTGACTGTTGTGCTGTGCCTCTGGTTGAGGTTTAGATAGGCTGAAAAACAGCTGCTGGCTTTGTTGCGCTTGGAGGTGGGCACATGACACAGAATCCACCATTATGGGCTGGGAGGGGAGATGGGGGATCTGCTGCAGAGGAGGAGGGTTGGGGCAACACAGTGAAGGAGCAGAGGTGAAGGAGGGAGGAGGTGGCTGGGTTTGGAAAAGTCTCTTGATTGGGTCAGGTTGAAGCTGTTGCTGTTGATGATGATGATGGTGGTGGTGCTGTTGATGATGATGGAACAGATGGTGATGGTGGTGATGCTCCAGTGGCACCCCATTGTCACACAGCCTGTTCTCGGGGGACTCGGACAAGGTCTGAAGCACCCCTCCTCCAGAGACCCCTCTCTGTCCCTGCATGAGCTTCTGGATGGCTGCACAGTGTTGAGGCTGCTGCTGCTGCTGCTGATGCTGTTGGGTGGTAGTGGGACTCGGCAGTAAGCCCACGACAGCGCCATCTTCCCTGACAGTTTGTCCTCCAATCACAGCCCTGAGCCCTCTATCTGAACACTCAGCCATGGTGACGTTCCCTCCCTTGGAGGTCAAACTTCTAGAGTTCACCGTATCCTCATATGTCAACGTGCGGGCTACAGGCGGACGAGTGACTTTTCCCGATGACTGCCCCGCCGAGGGGGCACCCAAAGGAGACATTGGGTCAGGTTTGGATGAGTGTTGATGTTGGGAGCCAAAAAGAGTGGCGAGAGAGAGAGGCCTAGGTTCAGCACCTTCACTGTCCTGAAAGATGCAAACAGAGAGGTTAAGAGAGGCAAGGGGGGCAGTAAGCATGACAAGACACAACTATGATGCAGTTATTTCTGAAGTGGCGAACTGCAAAGGTCTGAATGAATAAAATGGACCAAATACTGTTTGTAATGGCAACAGTTCCTGGTTACTGTTTGTGAGTACCATTTATTTAAACTTTAGCTGATCCCTTGCCTTTGCTCGCTTGCTGTGGACCAGATATGTTCTCTGCCTGTTTGTCAGGGGCTGATCGTCAAGGAAAGACGATGTACTGAATGCAACCCTGGAGCGAAAGAGGAAGTAGGATGTGGGTGTTTCACCTGTGTGTTTGGTTTAACGGGTATTGGTTTGATCAGGTTGGGATTTCCACAAAGAACACTGCTGCCACCAATCTCCTTTGGCTCTGATGTAGACTGCCCCTGAGAGAGACATATTGAAAGAGGGATATAAAAAGAGAGGAAGGAAAATGGGAGACGAAATACAAATGATCAAATAAAATGTGTGTCACAGTTTTCCAGAAGGTAATCATGTCAAACCATCCAAAATATCAATCTCTAAGGTTCTATTTGTTACAGTCTTTGGTTTCCCTACCTTGTCATACTCTGTGCGTGCTTTAGTCAACATCTGGATGATGTCCACTGCCTTTGCATCTCTTTCTCCTCTTCTTCCTCCTCCAACAACTCCTCCTCCTCCTCCTCCTCTGACTACTCCTCCGACTACTCCTCCGACTACTCCTCCGATTACTCCTCCGATTACTCCTCCGACTACACCTCCCCCTCCTGGGGACAACCATCCACCCTGAGACTGAGCCAGGGCCTGCTCCTGCTGGGTCAGACTACACACATACATTTTAGTCCATGAGAGAGAGAATACATACAGCTCAATACAAGGCAAGCAGTAAAGGGACTTTGGTCAGGATAAGACTACCACTTTACTTCACTTGTAATATATGTTAGTCAAAGTAAAAGAAACACATTCGCTCACCTTGGGAGCCAAGCTCATTCAAACAAACACACCATATTTGTCATTTGTTGGCTCTAAGCCCCACAGACACAGATCCACTTATAAACATGTAGCCTCTGTCATGTGCAGACAAATATGAAACAAACTCTCACAGCCACGGTGGCCGTAATTCACTAGTCCCTGTTTGGCAAACCAAATCTCATTTTGAATTTGTTTTCTTTAAGTGGTGTATAGAGTTTGTGGTTACATAAGGACTTACATTTTCATCCTCTGGGCAATGCGTTGACAGTCCTCCTTATCGTAGAACCAAATCCCATGGATAGCCACTGGGGGAGTGAGGATAAGGGGGACAAAAAGGGGGAAAAGAGAGAGAGAAGGGAACTTTTGAACATGTTTCATAAACAGAAATGTAACTCTGGTCTGGAGTAATGCCTCAGTCGAAGCTAAAAATCAACTTAGCCTGTAAAATAATGAAACTGCCTGTTGAGGTGCACCAGCCAGTAAGGTCAGCAGACAACAAAATTAGTTTTCTGACCTGCCATTCCCTTACAATCAAATAAAGGCACAGACATGCTGCCGTACAGCTCTGCTGCTATGACATCAGTGCAGGCCTGACAGACATGTAAACCGTTTATTATTAGTCCTGCTGGGTCTAAACCCAGGGTTTAATATTAGTCATTTCCCAATGGGAACAGAAGCCAGCAGTGCCATTATGGGCCCCAGGAGTCTCCTGAACTACATAAACATGGTCAACAAGGGAGGAAAAAGGCAACACTAACACCCATTTGTTACAAGATTACACTGCAGTAACTAAATAGATAAAAATGCATTACATGATGGCACAGTGACTCATTTTGCCATTTTCATTTGCAGTGACTCCTAAAAGCATATTAAAAGAGATGGCATTGTTGCATACGTATTCAATTCCAGTCAGTGAGGAGAGATTCATGATTTTGCCCAGCAACAAAATTTAGTACCGGTTAATAAAAACAGTGAAGGTCTAAAAAAATGTACAGATCCCACGACCTTTAAACTTCTTTTACTTAACCACTCAAACAAGTCTCTAGGTATCATGTCATTTTTCCAGTACTAGTACCAATGACATACCTGAGTTTTGGTACCAAAAACACCAAAACAATTCTTAATATAAATGTAAGTTTAAGGGATATAATATGATTTAAATCAGAAACTGTCTGATCAAAAAATAAGATGAAAGGATCATCATTCTGATCGAAGGATTTGATGCCAGATTTTGGGGGTTGACATGACAGTGTTGCAAACATATTTCAGTCAGTCCCAAAAAAAGTATTGCGGTTTGATACCAAGCCGTAATCACGACAGCAGGACATCATCGCACACCTCAACACACTTACTGTCTTAAGTGGATCTAGATAAGATAAGGCCAATCTCAAAAAGGAAAAGGGCAAAGCGTTAAAGATATGAAGTAAAGAAAGGAAAAAAAACACTTATGAATGAAACAGAGAGGAAGGATTTAAAGCCAGTCAGAACAGAGCGAGAACAGAAAGTAAAGTGGAGTCTAGTTACCACCACTGTCATATCAAAGACATAGACACACACACACGCACACACATTCCTACACAGCCAGACATGCACAGAAATACACACACTTGGCTACAAATTAGGTTGGACAAGCCACTAAGGTCAGTATGGATGGGGGGGAACAGACAGAGGGAGAGGCAGAGACACATACGTACACACACACACACACACACACACACACACACACACACACACACACACACACACACGTGTACACACACACACACACACACACACACACACACACACACGTGTACACACACACACACACACACACACACACACACACACACACACACACACACACACACACACACACACACACACACACACACACACACAGAGTTCAGTTGAGCCTGGGAAAATCAGCCCTGTACCAAATAAGTAACTGCAGTGGGAGACTGCCTGGTGGAGCCAGAGCCACTTAGTGCTCACTGGGGATGAGACTGTTTGACAGAGACAGAGTCAAAGTCAGAGAGCTGGAAAATTGAGAAAAAAATGAGCGAGACGGATATAAAATAGGAAGAAGCGAGGTGTGTTAGAGAGGAGATTATCAACAAGTCCATCAAGCGGGGAAAGATCTAGTTCTGCAAGCTCCTTAGCTGTCAGGAAACAGAGACTGAGCTTTGTCAGTGAATGTAAGATGTTAAACTGAAGTGAATTGATGAGAGACAGAAAAGGACAAGAACCTGTGGCACTTCAGACACAAGACAGTCTCTTTGACCGGCATGCTCTCCTGCCTCACCCAAACCAAAAGACCAATACAGGAGAAGAAAAGGGTTGGCCCTGATATGCCAAAGGTCTAAGCCTCAACAAGATAGACAAGAGAGTCAGAGAGGGAGCGGGAGAGTGGGAGGAGGACTACAACCAGTAGCACCAATAGAAAAGTGGCTGTGGCCACAAGGTTGAGCTTTCAGGGTGAACGTTAGAGAGAAAAGGGTTCCAGTCAACAACACTGGAGACTAATAGAGAGAGGAAGAAAGGCGGAGGGACATCTACATTGAATAAGTGAAGCAGAGATCCTGAACAAGTGAACTGGACAGCGAACTCCACTGAACCGTCACATAGGCAGATAACTTCATCAGAAGGATGACCAAAAGTGTGAGATCGCTATTAGGAGGGGCCACTAACTGAGAAAATCTAACTTCTGAATATGATGGCATCCCCTTACAGTCTGAACAAGGAGTATAGGAAACTTTGGCAATAATCACTCAGCTGAATTTTGTAGGTGATCCAAGACTAAAGCTGTGTGGTCCTTTTCAAACCCTCTGTGACTACGACAAACCAGCCAAAACAGCGAAGGCACTGCTGCACGTGATGTCTGTTGTAGACTGTAGACAGTAACTCTCTGATGGGACTCCAGTGGGACTTGGATGCATAAGAAGACATTTTAAAATCTTGGAAGCAACACTTCAATCTGTCACTGACTGTTCTAACTACTTGGATCTTGGCTTTTAAAAGAAGACATTTTTTAGTTATATCTGATTTGCACAGCAACATTGCATTTTCCAGGAGGTTTAAATGCTTGAACTGCACTACTGGGACTTCTCAAAGAATACGCTTTGTTGTTTAGCTTTAGCATAGTTAGAAATGCAGACATATTCGTTAGCAGCAGTGTTGATGGATTAGGTGTGCTTTAACTGCAGTATGTGATCAGCTTTGTTGAGAGAGCTCAGTGAATCAGTTATGAGTAACAGTGTTGATATTCTTTTAGCTTAGATATTTAGTTTACTGGAGGTTAGGGGTATGTGCTCTTACAGTAACACACATTCATGATTGGAATTACTGTTGTCTGAGAAGAACCATCACTTCCTTTGTTTGTAGGAATGGAATTCATGACCTTGGAGGAGTAAATATTGAGATTTACAGCTACCGAGACGCTCATCTAAGAGGACATTACTGCTAGTGTTACACTTTTATGACTTCCTCCTGAGGCTTAACTGCAGCCACGTTCATATTGCTCTTTTTGCCACAACTGCTGTGACAGCTGTATGTGCACTACCTGACCTGACTAAAGGGACAACCCAGTGCATCAGTGTATCCTTCATTTCTGAAAAAGGAAAACTGAATCGGAGGAAGCGGCAACTTTTAGCATCACCTTCATTGAACCTTTTGAAGTCGAAATTCAAGGTAGAATCTGAGAAATTACTAGAGACTACTGAGAGACCAGTGGAGTCATGCTGAGAGGCCTGTTTCAGAGGAAACCTAAACATGAGAGACTGGAGGAGGAACCTGAGGTCAGATTTAAAGGCTTGCTGGTGTCAGAGAAAGACCTGGGATATACATACATCCGACCTGGAGGTAAGACTGTCCGTACACCTGATATACAGAACCCCATGTTGGCCACATCCAGTATATGTGGCTATTGGGCTACAGTGCATACAGCATTTAAGGTCACATCCACATTAGTGTAAATGTAATGATAACATAATGATATTTAAAACTTTTTAAGGCCTAAAATTCAGACTTCTTATACTTAAATCCATCAACCTGCTGATAATTTTGTCATTAAGTGATTAATCATTTGGCCTATAAAATGTCAGAAAATAAATAAATGGCAATGGCACTTTTCTAAAGGCCAAGGTGATGTCTTGAAATTGCTATTTTGTTTGACCAACAGTCCAAAACATTCATATTGTGTTTGCTATCACACAAAAACAAAGCTTGAACTAGGTAATATTTGGCATTTATGCCTAAAAATGACTTAAACAATGAACTGATTTTCGAAAGTTTCCTTTGATTAATTATTAGATTATTCTAATAATTTAAATAAAGTTATTCAACACATTTGGGCTCTCGGTCGACAGGAGTATAGAAAAATGAAACCACCCTTCGCAGTGACTTTATCTCTGCTACTATGCAGTACAGTTCAAAATCTGCATGAGTGGGTCAATGGCACAGGAGGACAGATAACAAAGTGCTGCACACAAGTGAAACTGAGAGTACTGTAACATAAACTTTCATAAGCACATTTGTGATTTTTTAAAATCAAATAAGAAATTCACATCAGTTGTTCCCAGTCAAAGTATCTAGTGGATCAGACAAAGTCACCAGCCAAAGATGAAGACAGTAACTGCTGAGGTTAGGGGACCAACTCAATGTGAAGATAATGGGACCACTGAAACACTACTTGGGACTGTAGGTGCTTATGGGAAGGAATGTAAAAAGCCTTCTGTTGGTCCCTCTGTACTAGAACATTTGCCAGACAAATAACAAATAAAGACTGGCTCACACTAAAATTCTCTTCCCTGAATCTTGCCCTGTTCTGTAGTATATCTATCTAGTATATTTTTAGGAGTGCCACTCTGTGCCAACTGCCATTCCAGGAAGTAACGGCAGCACTGAGAGCTACATGTTTGTCTAATGATAAGATTCCACGACCCTTGCGCACAGAGGTTACGAGACAGTGGGACTTGCAGCATTTACTAACAGCCTGGGGCATAAACAGTCTTACAGATCTGTTAGCCAGAGGGGGAAAAAAAGTTCCAGTTTATATAGTTTTCTCTGGAAGAGATTGCTCTATCCCACACATACCCCCATCTGGTAAACACTCTGTCATTGCTGGCTTTCTCTGGGGAGGCTGTGCAATTTTATGTCTCTAAGAGCATCTAAGGTGCGTCTCTCTCTCTCTCTCTCTCTCTTTTATGTGTGTTGTTGGCTGGCTCAACCTTGTTACAGATGAATGCTCAAAAAAATCATCTGCGGTCCAACAATCATAGTAAATCACAGCAGCTGTGGTGATAAAAATCAGTTTGATACTGCCTCTATCCTTATTTGGGCGCTTTATAATCCGTCTTCAATCAGTGTAATCGGCTGGAGCCACTGACTATTAGGTTTGCTATGCAACCACTCACTCTTAACATCGCATAGCCCCTGCCCATATTTCCTTTTTATGAGAGGAAATAGTTATCAACGGAGTTGTGATTACTGATTTTGTTTTTAATTTTCTTTCCTTCCCAAGACATGCGAGTTAGCCATTCACTTGCAATTCAGTCCCCATTACCGATGCTCGGACCACATCTAAAGGCCAGTACTTCCGCAGATCAAATGTAAAAGGTGCTAAGAGGTCGCAGAGGAAAGTTGAAGTCAAACATATTATTTTACTTTGCCTTCAGGATGTTTAATAATGGATATGTTGTTTAAGTGTCAGTAAGAATAATGAAGTACTACAGTAAGGGGATCAAAGCAGGCGTAAGGAATCCACTGGTATCTAAACACAGCATTCCACCTGCCTCTTACTGAGCCTGATGGAGAGTGTGAGGCCACGACAGAGGTCTGTGTGTGTCAGCGATTCCTGAGTGAGTGTGTGTTTATATTATCAGTGACTGTTGTGGTGTATCTAATCTCTCCTGGCTGGTTTTGTAGTGCTGTCAGGCTCTTCTCCCACAGGCACACTCTGCAACGTGTTTGTGTGTGTGTGTGTGTGTGTGTGTCTAAGCCAGATGTAGGTCTCAGAGGGAGACAGGCTGATAGAATTGGAGTCACCACAATACCTCTGCTCCTTATATGGAACTAATGCTTCCCACTGAAATTAACAGCTGAAACGCTACACGCTTTATCAAATTGTTTATCTTTTATCTAAAGATAATTTATTTTAACTTCCTCCCTGTGGCTATAGATACACTTGTCATGTTTAAGTGTGACGTGAATACATTACTGTAAGGTCTAAAGTCACAAAGATATGGTTTCATGTGGATTCTGAGACTGAATTATACACAATTCAGTGTGCATAGCTTACATACATGTAAGAAATCTAGTGTCAGAGTAACACAAAGTGACACAGGAGTCTTTCGAATCAGAGCCAAAACACAACAATGAGAAGCACAATGCAAGCTGTTTTGTCTATTTTAATGTTGTCCCAAATCCCCAATTACCTACATCTGTGTATACACAGGGGGGCAGAATGCTAAGGACTCTGTGCTCTCTCTGTTTGATATTTGTCTTTCTATCCATCTCTTTTCTGGGTAAACTGTTAAATGTGGTCTTGTTTTATTTCTTTCCTGTTTGTCTTGTCTCTATCTTTTAATAACTTTTTCTCATTGTGTCTGGCTGATTCTGATTTACACAGCAGACTTTTCTATTTATTTTGTCTACATGGCTAGTGATGGTATTTTAACATCTATGACTGTACAGTCTGTGATGGTTTGACTCACTCTATTGTTACTGGCCCCTGTATAACTAAGGTTTTTTCACATCTCAAAAAGCTAAGACATATCAATTTGGTGCTATTAATTCTAATTAATTGCAATGATTGTTGCATTAAAATAAATTAGAATGGGGATAAAACTATATTAAATCTCTATGTGCACGCTGTGTTCAACAGGTGGTGAGAACAAGAAGTGTGTATATGTGTATCTGTGCGTCTTTCTCCTTACATCGCGCATTGCGGTAAAGCAGGAAGGGGTGCTGGAGCTGAAAGTCCAGGTCTTTGGTGATCGGCTCTGTCAAGTTCTCCATGTTAAGTCTGTTCATAATGGTGAAACCATGCCTGGGAGATGCCAGTCTGAAATACATGGGGACAAAGCACAAAAAAAAGTCAATCACAACTTAAAACAAGAGGCACTTCAGCTATGTCATGTTGTACCACACTTACCATAATATTACACATAAAAATAATCAAATAAAATCAGTCTATACTGAAGGGAAAGCATCAACTGGTCCCAATTTACTGCATGTTGACTCTCAAGTACGGCTGTAGTCTCAATATGTCTGTTAAAGAGCTTTAAAGGCAGTCTCAACAACTCAGAACTATACTTTAGGTAAAGTCCAACATCAGTTTCATTACCTTGTGTAGATAAAGAGGGTGCCTTCCACCTCTGTCTTTTCCTGAAAAACACACAAAAAAGCTAAGTGATATAACTGACATGACTGGCCCAGATTTCTAAAAGGATTCATCATTTGTGTCACTTTACTTCGGTCAGTGTCTTATTTATCTGCCTAAAGATTAGACTTATGACTGGAACAAACATGATAAAATATATATATATATATATATATATATATATATATATATATTTATTTTAAACAAAAAAAAAAAAAGAAATATATGTGTGAACAAGATCAAGCTGTTGAATTTAACTAGTCAGTCTCCTGATAAACACACAGTGAGAACAAAGTGCTGAAAACTGGTTGTTGCTATAGGGGAAATATGTATCTACAAGTGCTGTCTAGTGGTTAATAGAGAATAAAACTTTTTTTTTTTAAGGAAAATAAAATTTTTCTAACCCTAAATCACCACAGCTGGATTAACAATAGTGTAACGTTAACTTTAGTTGGGGTAAATCTGTCAGTCACAAAGCGCGCCTATCAGGGAGGACGACGAAGCTAGGCTAAGTTAGCACATAACCAAAGTTCAGGCTTACCCACTCATTTGCCCTGTTGTTATAAGTATACAGGGCCACTTGACTGGCCACGTCCACGATGTTGTTGATGTATGGGTCTTGTCGCTGCAGGGCGGCCAGACTTATGTCCAGTCCTTTAGCGGGGAGGAAGCTGCTGCTACCTGCAGAAGTCGCTGTCATTGTTCCCTATGGAGAAGTTAGCTCGCTACCTAGCTTCAGCGGCTAACGAGCCACAGAAAGGTGAGATAAAAGCCAAACCAGCAACACGGTAAAAACGTCGATTAAAAGTGTATTTGCACAGTAACTTGTATGGCAAATTAGGAGTTGTAAATTTAAAAAAATCAAGAGTTATCAAGTTCTAACTGCCATGTCTGAGTTTGTCAACGGCCATGTTTAGGCAGATAGATTGTAAACAACCAGACGTGAGTAGTTGCGCAGCAGGCTTCGTGATTTCAGCCTTATCAATCAACTTGGAAAAATCGATGGATGGGATTTTCAGTATTACGGTAACTTACTTTCTTCGGTTAACGATAATATCAGGAGACCGTGTACAATTCGGTGTCTCAGCTTTATATTTTTATATTAAATCAATACTTACATCTTGGTTGGTTGTAGAATGTTTTTGTTTCTGTTTTATTTTCGTATTTACAGTATTGTACGGGCCAAAATCCTCATGTTTCTGAACACTTAGTGATTGTATGGGAAGATATCCTGATATCCTATCCTGTTTGATTTTGTTGTAACTTGATGTCTCTGTTTACTTCTCTCCGTACAAGTCAACAGCTGATGTGTGTCTCTCGTCTTTCATCTCTGTGTACAGTATATCTGACTGTTGGGCAACACAGACTCTGATGCTGACTGATGTCTCCCAAGTCTCAGTTACATTTCCCATATAATGCACTAGGGGGCATCAAAGGGATGGATAAAACGCAACCATCCCTTACTGCATAGGCTGCAGCTGATCTCAAAGCTCAAACTAGAATGCGTGTGTGTGTGTGTGTGTGTGTGTGTGTGTTTGTAAGTATTACCCAAGGGCTTTGTCTTAATGTTAAGGGAAAGCCCCTCAAAGAGTAGTTACACCGTGTTACACAAACCCCCAATAGAAAAAAAACCAATTTATTTTCACCAAGGTCCATTCCACTGCAAAGAGGAATCACTGATTTTTACACTTTAGGCACAGTGCAGCACACATCTATAGCTTTTATTTCTGTGGTAACTCTCCTGTAATCCTGCATTTGTAAAAAATAAACTGCATGATTTTATTTTAATTATGTGCCTGCAGGTGGTTTTCCAGATATTTGTAAATGGGTGATGAAGGAGTGCACACACAGGCAAGCATCCTCTTCGGAAGAAATGAAGGCACTTTTGATAGTAGTTATAGTTCTGGTTGATACATATTTCACTTTCACCTTCACCAATCCTTCTGTTCCTATATTTTATGTAAAGAAACATATTCCTCTTCTTCCTAATTTTGGATCCAGTACTTTAGCTGCAGTATATAATGCACCAGCTCTATGGTTCAGAAATTCGACATATCCTTCCTGGAATTAATACTCAAGGACAGAGCAGTAACTGATACAGGAACAGGACTTGCAGGACTGTACGTTCCTGAAATCCATATCAGCCATACCCATATCACGCAATATCAGTTGCATCACCTGACAGCGAATCTCCATATTCAACAACACATCCTTTTCAGTTACAAGGGTACTTGAGGAGACGTAGCCACCTCTTCAATTGAACATACATAAGTCCGTTTATTCTGTATGCGTTTGCTAGTAGATTACCTCTTTTATAATCTCTCACAACCACCAATGAAGACTTCATACATGAATGCTCTTTAATCACTAAATTACCACTATTTAGCATTATGTATGAAATATGCACTCCTGCTATCCTCTACAGTGTACAGTCATAGTTGTTTCAGTAATTAGATTTATACTGTGACAGAGACAGCTGGTGTGCATCCATCAACAGTCATGTCAGAGTGTCCTTGAGAAAAACAATGGCCATCCAACTGCTCACTCAGTTTAAGCAGCACTGGTTGAAAAACATCTGCTTTAAGCACTTTAAACAACTTCTCCTCTTAAATGTGAATGAAGCACTTCCAGGTCAGACTATGACACGTCTGCCACTCTATTAACATAAAAATAGCTGCATTGTGATTCAGCATGGGCCTATTTGTCTCTTGGCAAAGTAAGTCTATTACTTTGTCAGTGTGTGTGTGTGTGTGTGTGTGTGTGTGTGTGTGTGTGTGTGTGTGTGTGTGTGTGTTTCAAGCTATATATGTGTATTTGTCAGGGTGGTATCTATCTGTGTGTAAGGGGTGTGTGTGTGCTTGTCAATGATGAGGCTAATGAGTTGTCCATCAACAGGTCAATACTGCCAATACTGTTCAGTCAAGATTGAGTACTTGACTCTGATTGGTGTGGATAGGCTTAGAGATGCTGGTGATTGGCTCACAGGCAGGAAGGATAACGGGACAGAGCCAGTAGGCAGCTTGTTGGTATTTAACAAGCATATGCATTGTTCTGAGGGGTGGACATTGTCATTTCTGTTTCTACACTGGAAAAAAATATCACTGCATCATCGCATTGTTTGTTAATAGATGACGGATCATGGAACAAGTTGAGAAATTATTATTTATAATGGAAATTTATGGAAACAAAGTATATTTTATACTTATTTTAAATAAATGTCTTTAAGGAAAGTCATTATCCTGTATCAAGTGAGGCCTGTTGAAACCAAACAATATGTGCTTATTCTGTGTGCACAAACAAGCAAGAGACTGTATAACTGTTTAGGAACAGATCTATAATTTACATAGGGCATACACTGAACGATTGGGGCTGTAGGCAAAGGGCCACAGTGAATGGGTGATAGATGGCTTGCCTGGAGTTTTCAATACGGGTCCATTGTGGCTCCAGGTGGAGACATTACATTCTGTATTATGGTACTCATTTGGCACTACATTTAAGTTCATGCTTATTGTGGCCTCACTATGAGAAAGTTTAACTAAAACCAGTTTTTCACAGTAGCCTACTCTTTAAGACATATTTACATCAGGGAGGCCTGGCCACAATGTTTTGACCATAGTCAATGAGCAGCCCTACTGGTATCTATGCAGACTGTAACACATCAACCTTATTAAAAGCCATTGCTACATCTGATATTCTCAAGAGGTATAAGGTTTTAAGTGATTGTATCCATTGCATTTCCACTATGGGGGCGTTTGTTTAATTGTAAACACACTTTTATATATCTCACACTATTTAATGTATGAGTATTTCTGGAACAGGCCAATTTCTGTGATTATAGTATAGAAATTACTCTTAATAATGAACAGCACAGTTTTAGATTGCCTTTACTTGACATTTTGCACAACTGACATAAGCCATAGAAAAATGCATAATTAGATATATAACAGATTTATTTTCTTTCTTAGCTGGTAAAAAACTGAAACAACTTCATTATTGTTACTACTTTGGTAGATAATGTTTCAAAATGTTAAAATTCACATTGCATTTCATTTTATCTCTTTAATCTTTATTTTTATCTCTTATTATTTTTGAAGGGAAGAGAGACAAGGGACATTATTGAATGCAAATGCTGAAAAATTACCAGGAATTAACTTATTAAAAGCAACATTTAAATATTTCTTCAGCATTGTCTTCATTTTAGTGTAGAATGGATCCTAAGAGAAAGCTTCATATTCATATTAAGTGTGTGAATCTAGTTGTCATTAAATTAATGAATGTCTAAAACCTGATTTGTACAAGTGACTAAAGTAGCTCCCTCTGTCAGGAGGGGATTCCCCTTTGACTGACCAGCAGATTGTTGGTTCCCCACATGGGATACATTTGAGTGTGTTTGTCTGTACAGAGATTCCCAGAGACCAACTGAGTTTTAAAGTCACACACACTTGCACTCACACAAAGGGGTCGGGAACTACAAATATAGAACAGTCATAAATAGAAGAGATATTCCATGCTGGATTACAGAGGACATTTGTGTATGTGAGTTTGTGTGTTTGTGTGTCCCCTGGGCACAAGTGTCTGTTCCCACGACCTGCCCTCCATCCGTTCTTCCTTCTTTCAATCCTTCCTTCCGTCTGTCCTTCCATTCACTGGCCAGTGTAATCAAACAGAGGCTGGCTTGGCAAGAAAGTGAAAGGGAGACTCAGACGGCCATTATGCCACTCAAGGTCCATCTGTCTAGGCATTCATCTGCAGCAGTGGAAAGTGAAAAGAAAGAGCATTTTCTCAAGTATTGCGCTTGAGTACAGTTTTGAGGTAGTACGTTGCTGAAGGATTTACATTTTCTACTTTATACCTTTTGAAAGGGAAACATTAAACTAGTGGTCCCCAACCTTTTGGGGTTGTGGCCCCTTATAAATATATAAAATATATATAAATATAGAATGTCTAGATGAGGACCCTTGTCATGTTTCCGGTGTCTATGAGTTGTTAGCAGTTCCATCAGAGAACAATATTCCCCTTTTAACTTCTCAGATGGTCTAAGATCTCACAAACCATCCGATTTATTTTGTGACCCATTGGATGAGCCCTAATCCCTGGTAAATAAAATACCTAACTATTAGAACTAGCTTCACCTCAACAGTAAAATTTTGTACTGATGTCCCCGTATTACCAATTTCAGTCAGTCACATGAGCCATTTTTCTGCAAAACAAGTATTTTCTAAGTGCTGAAATGTTGCTTTTTCTAACAATATTACATTCAGTATATACACAACCAATAATTACAGGAAGGTTTCCATTTATTCATTAGCGCAGGTATTCAACAATCTTTACTTTCCCCCTAAGTGCACAGTAGATTAACATGACATCTGCATCACAAAACACTATATATATATATTTCAGAAAAAAGACAATTAATCTGTCAAATGTCATCAATAGAATCATTTATCAGATGTCTCCCTGTCTTTACTATGTCTACAGTGACACATGTAGACAAAAAGCTTTATTCTATTACAGGATGGTGGGTGGTGATTTTGTGCTATGGCACTGAACAAATGAATACAGGCTGGGTTGAGTCATCAGATTCACCTCCTGATTATAGCCTGCAGTGAGATTGACATGAGGCCTGCACATTGTGAAGTTCGTATTCAGTGTCAAATACAATTATATGGGATGGCCAGTGCCATAATTAGAATCTGAAAATGCCGCTCAGTACCTTCAATACATCCTGATGTATTGAGCCCAACGGTTTCGTTTCGTGAAGCATTACCGTACCCTTTTTATACATTTGACATCCAAAAATGGGACGGAATTCGTGTTTGTCTGAGTATATCCATAAAAAGACAGGAACTGCTTTTCAAAATAAGGTCAAAATCCACCGAGAAGATGACGGAGAAAAAAAAATGTTTCTTTCGCTTTTTATCCTTTGTATCAAGCTGCATGTGGAGAGCTTTTAAGAAAACAGCTCAATTTAAGAAGCAACATGTTATTTGTTCAAGCAGCTCCATCCAAAAGCCTCAGTAGGAGAGCATAGAGCCAAGCAGACTCAGTGTCATCAATACCTGGTCCAGAGCTATTTAGTTAAGAGCTGATATTTTTGACTTTGTTTGACATTTTTCTCCCAAATGAGCTTCATTTCATTGTTGTGTTACCTAAGAAAATGGGCCTATGTCTCCAGAAAATTACTTTGTGTGCTTTAGGGGCCAGGACAAATTTGGCCCCCGTCACAGAGAACAATGTTGAAACATACTTCACTGTCCTGAGGGCAAAAAGAAAAAAACCCATAATTGAATTATAAAAATCATTCTGTTGTCCTCTAGATAAAAAGGTTCACATTCAGTCTTTGAGCACCGACCTTCCTGAGCCCGTCTGTTTCACGAAATTTGAGTCTATGTTTACACAGCATCTAAAGATCTGAAAATCAGCTTCCTTGCGGTTTCTCCCGGTTTAAGAGAGCCATGAAAAGATCAGAGCTTGAGTCATAAAAGAGTTGAAAAACCAGATCTCTAGTGTGTGTGTAAATACAGCCTTGGCCAAAGAAAAGAATGGGGCTGAAGCAGTCCAGATGTGTTGGGACTATGGGCAAATCAGAAGTAGGTACAACATCTCTGATCTTTGTTTCTTCCTGCAGAAATTAGAGTCTATGCAAGGGTTGAGTCTGTTATGGATCATTATCCCCCTTCCACCTCTCTCTCTCTCTCTCTCTCTCTCTCTCTCTCTCCCCTCACACACACACAGGCACACTTTCGATTTCCTCTTGCTTTCTATCTTCTTGCCTGTGTCACACGCACGGGTTTCTTTTCTTTTCATGTCTTCCCTCCGACCCTCTGTTGCTTTTAAGATGTTGTGATCCCTCCTCTCCTCCCACACACACACACACACACACACAACACACACACACACACACACACACACTTCATCAACATTATCATCATCTTTGTCTTCATCATCACCATCATCATCATCTGGATACCAGCCGCTGGTTCTCCACTGTTGCCTATACAGTCTCCCTCCCTCCTTCTTTCTCTCTGGCACACACACACACACACACACACACACACACACACATCTGGAAACAGTCAAAGCGTCTACATGCACGGGGAGGGGGGGCTACCTCTCTCTCTCTCTCTCTCTCTCTCTCGGTATCACTGCAGAGCTGAGCTGCAGGGGCAGCAGAGGCAGAGAGAAGAGAGAGCTCTAACTCCCGATCAGTGAGACACAGACAGACAGACAGACAGGCAGACAGAGAGACAGGCACACAGACACACCGCCGGACCATCATGGACTGGATCAGGACAGAGAACCCCGTCTCCGGATGAGACAGGACCGCCTGGCTTCTGTTTTTTGGGGGGACTTTGCTATAGATACGTGGAATAACCGACAACCCATTGGGAGATTTAACCCCGTGCTACCCGTGATGGAATATTTACACTCTTCTCATTTTCTAGATTTCCTCGTCTTCTCTTCCTCCCCCTTCTCTTCCTCCACCACCTCCACCTCCTCTTCTTCATCATCTCACATTTTGACACGTTGCTGAAGATGCGCACGAATGCGTCTTTTGCGCACTTCCATTGCGACCGCCACTGACAGCCCCCGTGCTTTATAACCTTTTGAAACCTTTTTTTTTTTAAGAACCGACAAGGGAGAGGGGAGAAGGAAAGAGAGAGAGGGAGCCGAGCGAGCGAGGTGTGAATTGAATTGAACGCGGTGCTGGTCTCATGTTTCTCGCCTAGGGCCCGGATGTACCGAGAGATGCACCGGTGCGTTTTCCCAACCGGTTCCGCCGAAAGCTCTCTCTTTTTTCTCGCCTTCACCTCCATCATGGGGATTAGGTAATATTCACTCCATCCGAAGAAACCCTCCCCATAAATAAGAATAACGGAATACCCCAAAACTGTCCGCTTCAGACAGTTCTTTCTTCTTTTTTCCCCTTTTTTAATTTCTTTATTTTTGGGGGGCTTTTTTCCCCCTCTTGTTATTTTCCCTCCTCCTCTCCAGTTTTTTCCTCTCTCGCTCTCTCTCTCTCTTCCATTCACCCATAGGGATAACGCCGGACTACATTTATGGTAAATGAAAGCAAAAACATGTACATCCCGGAGGACACCCTTGAGAACCATCAAGGTATGTGGTGTCTTTTTTTTGTATTATTTATAACTGGCAAACATCTTGTAACTGTGCATGACAGAGAGGGAAGGAGGGAGAGAGGGAAGGAGGGAGGGAGTAAGAGAGGTATGATGATCTCGAAATGGGGATGGGATGGGGAAAGAGGAGGAGGTGGTGGGGGGGGGGGGTGTTAGCTCTCTCCTCGTTTTCAACAGATGGACGGATACAGTTCTCTTTCCTCCACTTTCCCTCTGTGTGCAGTTTGTTTATTTGGGACCCCCCCCTCCCCGCTGTGTGCAGTTTGTGCAGCAAGTGAACTTGTGCCGTAATCACGCAACAAGGCTGCAGGTAGCCGCGGACAGATATCGATGGATGAGGCCTTTTTTTCTTGCTTGGTTTAGTCCACACTTGTACTTGTGGGGTTTCGACAGGCCCTCTCCACCGGAGAACTGTGCCATAATGGGTGGGCAGTGGTCATATTTAGCCAACAGGCAGTTGTAGGCGGAGAACATTATTGTTTAAGACACATTTCCAGCAGAAAATGGCAGCAAAAGCGTGCTTGTGTACACGTTATTTAATTCCTGGCAATTCCTGTGCCCCCACCCCAAAGGCTTTTTTCCTTTTGGGAATAAACTAAACTGCACGCATTGGCCTGCGTTTTTTTTGGCTGTATGTCAGAAATGAACACACAGCGGTCGCCAAGGAGCAGGGAATTGAGCAGCGCCCACTGCTACGCGCACTCGATCACCATCGATCCTCCCCTTTTCTATAATCAATAGTCGTATATTTGTCACGTTTCAATCCAGGTTCCCACGCCCGCGGGGATCCTTGATAACAGCGCGCGAGAGAAATCGCATAGAGATGATGACAGGTGGCAGTAGGATGGCCTGCAGGACTTATTTGTCTGCTGAGAATTGGGTTGATGGTGTGCTATTTTGGGGGAAGGCAGCGCAGGACAGTGGGTTGTTTCGCACAAGACACGACCGAAGTTCAACATGACGACTTTTGAAGTGTTGAAAAAGCAACACATGCAAAGAGTGAATCGAGATCCGGGGCTGTGATTTGTTTTACGGTGAGGAAAGGGTCTGTTTGCATTGCGCAGTATTACGCGTCGCTCCTTCCACCCACGTTGCAGAGAGCAAAGCCCAGCAATGCATTGGTTTATGGCCGGCCGGACCTTGTAATTCAGCAAAGGGGTTATTTATCCGATCACCATTATCATCTTCTCGGGCATCATCATCGTCGTTGTCGCCTTTCGTCCACCACTTCCATCACAACCACATACCTCTCTGCCTTGGCGACAGGTTCCATAGCAACAGGGGATGAGGAGAGGGGTGGCGGTGTATGTGTGTGTATGTATGTAATGTGTGTGTGCGTGCGTCTGTGTCGCAGCGAGGCACATTCACCAACAGTTTGTTCCGAGGAGCAACTAATCGTAGGTTGTGTGTCACCTGCAGAAGCTGCCATCATGTTCCCATAGCTATTATTGTAGGCAGCAGAACAGAATGGCATCATCATGAGGGGCAGGACTGTACAGTTACCTTGATTGCCATGATGTCATCTTAATCTATTATTATCAAAAGGGGCCTTTTAACCCAAGTTGTCCAGGAAAGTAATGGATATTATTATCATCATATCATTGTCATAATAACTGTCAGTCAAATCAAGAAAAGTGCTCAACAACCCAAGAAGATCTTTATGGTTAAAAAGTAGATGCTTGATATAACTTTTCATAGCAAATATTTTTAAGATTAGGTGACCCCATAGCGCAGCATGAGAATGTCAGTGTCACTCTGAAGTTATTACTGCCTCCTTAGAGGCGATTGTTCCTCAATGCCACCAAGAAGTGTAATAAATCTATTAAACTGTTACAGCAAAAGCAAAACATGGCTTGTGGATGTACAGTGTTTGTCTCATTGGTCTATTTGAGGTAATGAAATCAACAAAGAACATTTTCAAGCTGACAGAATTGTGTCTGAATGAGCTTTTTTTAAAAACTTATTTTCATTAGTGTGATTAAAGTATAGTTTAGGCCAGGGTTATAGTGAGATTTGTAGCAAATACATCTCAAACTGAAGTCTACTTGGGTGGTGGTTTCAGCACCACGGACAGTTCATTCTTCATTGGTCTATTGACAGCTACATGACAGCTACTGAAGAGTTACAAAGACAGACATTGGCGATGGTGCATCATTGTTTGCATCCTGCTTTACTCTAATAATTGTTTTCATACGTCACAGCTCTGGTATTAGACAATTACATCTCTGATACTGAGTGTGACAGCAGTGAAAAACTCCCAACTTTACAAGCACCCAGTTACATAGTATACATAACAGACATATACATGTTAAATTGACCTATATTTTTACTCTTCTCTCATTTGTTAAGAGCAGTGGTGAAGTGGCTATTAGGGAGGTGGGATATATTATAGGAGGCACTTAATGAGTTTCCTGCAGCTGAATGATGACAGCACTCGGGTGTAGTGTAGTTATTAGAGAGACCATCCTTTGACCAAAAGTTTCCACAGTTCAATTTTAACTCTAACCCACTGTGTTTGCCAAGACAATGAAGCTCTACCAACTCCTTAGACGCTGCTGTTTAGCTGACCCCGACCTCTTTTCTCTCTGTCGATGGAAGCTAAAGAAAAGACAAATTCCTCCATAAGGGATTTGGGACGAAGTTCTGCCTACACAGAAAAACAGAGCAGGAGATACAGTAGCTTATATTTTGAGGATTTATCTGCAGCTTTGTCATGGTATTAGATTTTCTCTCTTATCAGTTAGTTTCCATCTTTACATCCACTTTGTAATTCAGAGTTGATGTTACACATGATTGCACTGAATGCTCATGTTCACTGAATGAACCAATTATACTGCATCTAAATACTTTTTTTTTTTGTAGTGTAGTGCCTGTGTGAGACTCACACGCAGAAGCACAATCCGTAATCACAGACTTGTCAACACATACTGTACATGAGATGTGGCTTTGAAACAAAACACACACCTGTGGCATCTCATGTCATTGCATGTAGAACAGGGAAATGATTTTGGAGCACACACACACACACACACACACACACCACACACACACACACACACACACACACACACACACACACACACACAACCATGCACTCACACACACACACACACACACACACACACACACACGCATACACACACAGTCATTACAGCAGCAGTTTTCAGCAGTGTAATCAGTGAGTTGATTTTCCCTGTGGGCATTGTGCCAGAGGCATGATACCTCCGTTAAGGATATTAATTGGTTTCCGATGGTTACACTAGGGTGCTGGCCACCTGCCAAATCACCTCAGTCTAATGATTTGACTTGATATGCTCAGTGATTCCATTGAAGTCACCTCAAAAGACATGTCGCAACAACCACTGATGTGTTTGCTTTATAATGTAGCTTCTCACATAGAGCTGTTGCCAGGGAATGTGTCTGCAGAGGTTTTTCAGCACTACACAAGAGCGGCTGTGCTCACACAAGCAACTTATAAGAGCATATAAAAATCCTCCTTTCATTAGCTGGACTAAGAATCCATCTGATTTAATGTATCTTCTGTGAAAACAGCTGGCAAACTGCAGGTGGCAAAGTTGTTGCCTTCTACAAATAAAGGCAACAACTAATCAACTATTTCTTTCAAATGTGTTTTAATTAGAATCCACAGGGGCAGAGAAATAGCTAGGCAAGCTAAGGCATCCATCAGTATGCTTGACATAGATGTAAATCTGGGCAATTAAGCACCAATCTACCGTTACTCAATCCAGTTGTTGCTCAATATCAGGTTGGACTTAATTCCTGGCTTTTGTTGGAGTGTGTAGTGTAGTATGGGGACAGCTTTAAAGGTTTTCTTTCAAAATAATTAAAAACAGACACACTGTCTAATTGTAGCCTAGATCTGTTTATGTTACATTGATGAGCTATTTACGCATTGTAATTGATTAATATACTTGTCCCATAATGTTTATTTACATGGTATACATACAGTGTGGTCATTTAAGCCTGTTTGCATGCCAGTGTTAGCTCACAGACAATAACAATGAGGTAACGTAGTCCAAAGCCTTTTATCATAAAATTTTATTTCCAGTGACTGTCCTTTCTTCGAGACCCTGGCATTTGAAGAAACAATCTTAAGAGACCTCTGTTAACAATTTTAAGATTGACATTTTGGGCAGTGAACACAAACAATGATAGACTTTGTTATATGTCAAACAATAAAGAACCCACCTTGTTAGTGAGTTGCAGTCAAACATGACCCATTTTGATCAAACAGTGTCCCCCTTCACCCCCATCATCACTCACCAAACAAAAGCCAGCCAAATGAACTTGTATGTGCATGACTATCCATTTTCTGTATCCAGCTTGTTTGCATCTGTGTCTAGGTGAGAAAAGCTTAAGTAACAAGCTGCATGTGAGTTTCAACCGTCATGCTCTTTCTCAACTTCAACCACAGTCTTCTGCCGCTGCCCACTGAGCTGCCTTACCAGAGGAATTGTGGTTTACTAGTTGTTCAGCACCCTCAGAAATAGTGGCAAATGAATTAATCAAATACACACAAGAAGATTATCAGGGTCCAAATAAACAAAAAAATTATTTTTATACAAAATATATTTTTTTGTTTCTCTATTATTTCCCTTTTCCCCCCCTCTTTATAGTTCAACTTCTTGCTTGCACTACTCACAACTAATACACCCTGTGACAAGAGCTCCCAAGTAGACTTTGCTTTGTTTTAAGAGGTCACAAAGAAAAAGAGGTCACAAGGAAAAAAGGCTGTGAAACGCTGCCTTACACTGCCAGTGCTTTCCTACTACCGGTATATACATGCATAGGGTCAAAATACAGTAGCTACTGTATGCTTGTTTAAAGATGTCTTAGTCACAGCCAGGTTGTAGCAGCTGTAGTGGAGGAAGCATTGAAGAAGTTTATATCAGTGCCTCAGAATGTGTCATGGCTTTAACTTAAGGATGTGACTCAACAACAGCTGCTCTTTAATGTAAA